TTGTATATGCAGAATCATTTCTTTAGACTCACAAAGAAAAATTGATGCAAATATATTTTGACAACCATATCATATAGGTTTTTTCATGTTATCTTTTCATATAACAGGCATTCTTTAATAGTACAATAGCTACTCTTTCAGGGATACATCTTCATTCCTCTGCACTGAAATTCTGTAGGTGTTCTAAATTAAGTACATACATGAATACAGGCATACTTTGCTTTATTGCACTTTGCTTTATTGGATTTTACAGTTTTTTTTTTTTCCTTTTAATACAGGTTTGTGGCAACCCTGTATCAAGCAAATCTATTGGTGACATTTTTGCAACATGTGTCTACTTTGTGTCTCTCTGTCATATTTGGTAATTCCCAAAATATTTTCAACTTTTCATAATGCAATTTCACACCTAATAGACTACACTATGGTTAGTGTAAACATAACTTTTATATGCACTGGGAGAACAAAAACTCATGTGACCAGCTTTATTGTTGTATTTGCTTTGTTGTGGTGGTCTGGAACTCAACCCACAGCATCTCTATGGTATTCTAAGTCCACAGAAAACATTTAAGGGAAATAGTACATTTATAGCAATCTAAATGTCATTTATGTTTTATGACTTAGATTCAAAGTAAAATTTATTACATAGAAATAGGCTTTGGCCTTTATGTTTATATTTAAAAAGTTCTCAGCTATATTCAGTACTTTCAAAATCCTCAAGAAGAGTGTAACTAAAATATGAAGAAGGGTGAAGAATATAGGAAAGTCAGAGCATAAAATGCATTATGGAATGGAATTATGTTTTTTTTTTTTCTACCCAAAGAGTTGAAAAAAGTATCATTAACTACTCTAGTTGTTATTACTGAATTCGTCAGAAAACAAATGATAGGAAGCAACCTTGTGAGAACACCACGTTTGTATTACCAGTTTCTAGATACTGCCTCAGAAACCCAAGGAGGGGTCGCTATGAGTCAGGGCCGACTCGACAGCACATAACAACAACAACAACAACATAGTGGATATTCAGTAAGTATGTTAAATAAAAGAACGGTTGATGGCTTTAATCTGTGTTAGTTGGCTTCTGGGAAACTGTCTGACATTAAGGACCAATTTTATCCAGAAAATGACTGATGAAGTAAACCAAGAGGAACCCCAAGGTATGTTGAGTATTTCTGGAGCAGTTTCCCTGTTATGGGTTAATGAAAAAAATTAAACATTGTAACACTAGAAATCATAGCTTTTATGAAATAGCTATATATAGCAAGAAAGACATTAAAAACAGCCCTTAATAAATGTGTGAGCTTGGAAAAGTCACTTGACTTTGAGGTTTCCCAGTTTCTATATCTTTTAAAATGGAGATTATAATGCCTGTCTCACCTAGATGTTATGAGAATCAAATGAGATAATATATGTGAAATTATTTTGTTAACTTTAAAGCCCTATAAAACATAAGGATGGTTAAGTCTTAACTAACATATGTTAAATATAAAGAAATTTGCTGAAGCTTTATAGACGTATAAAGTAATGTTTATAAATGTGATCACAATACGAATGTCGTAGTGATGAATGGATTTAAAATATCACAGAAGCAGCTACAATACAGCAACAAATAGGCGAGGAGCATCTTAACTTCCATTCTGCACTTCTATAGCATCTACCACCATAGAGTATAACCTCCATGTGGACAGGAAACCATGGCTTAGTAGGCGACTTAGGGACCCAACATCTACATGTACTCATTGCCCATATATTTGCTGAAGAATAAATTATCTTTATCTAGTGATTACCCAAAAAGTAACATTTGTGTGACTGGCTAGGTCTAAAGATGCAAATATTTCAGAGTTAACATAAAGCACTTTAGTATATAGGGTGGAGAGTTAGAAAATACTAATGTATTGAATCATGCTCTCAGAGGAGTGACTTGCCACTTAATCATAGTCTGCTTGATAAATTAGAGAGCTGGAACCTAAGTCTGGTGGGGCAGACCAAAGGCCAACATCCAGAATGCATTGGTGAATAAATCCATAGACAGATCTGACTCTCTGAAATGAATAGCTTTGCTTCCTTGAACCTTTGCTGAACTGTACATAATTGCAAGTTGCAACTAGAGCCTGGAGGAAAACAGGGCCACTGCACTGCACAAGAAGTATCTGGGAGGCACAAATTGTTAAGTAGTTGACTACTGGCCAGTAGGTTGGAGTTTCAAACCCACCCAGAGGTCTGTCAGAAGACAGGCCTGGAAATCTATTTCCAAAGGTTCACAGCCTTGAAAACCCTATGGATTAGTTCCACTCCTCACACGTGGGATTGTTATGAATTGGAGTCCATTCAATGGCAATTAATAACAACAGCACTGAATGAATACTTTTAAACTCCAGGACAGTAACTGCAATGCTAGTGAGCAGCATAGCAAACATTTACCCAAGGTCACTTATCAACTCATATCTCTAAATGATTTTTTTTTTTTTTTTTTGCAGCCCTCAAAGACCAGTTTTGCTTCAAAACTCTGTGTGGTTTATGTGGGCAGATGTTTTAAGACACAGCTATGGAAGAATGGGATTTCTTCAAAAACTTCTAGGCAAAAGCTTCAATCTAAAAACAGAGACAAGCCTTCTAGTCTTGTTAGTGTTTTCGGAAGTGTGTCATAATATTTCCAGCCATTCTGGCTATGAACTGTAAAGGAGAGATCATCATGACAGCTTACTTTAAATTAAAACAACAGCAGGATACCATGATACCATTTTCTAGTTATAAAATTATCAAAGAATTTAAAAAGTAATTCCCGCTATTACTGATAGTATGTTCCTACACTGCTATTCAGAGTGCTGACTGAAGAGCCATTTGTAAAAAAATAAATAAAAAATAAAAACATGCATGTCCTTTGACTCCCTCCACAATTGCACCTATGAGAGTGTATCCCAGGAAAATAATCCTATATGTGTGCAAAGATTTATCCATTGGTTTATGTCCAATACAATATTTCCTATGATAGTGAGACACTAGAAATAAGTGAAATGTGTAACAATACAGGTTTGCCTAAACAAATTTGGCTCTGTCCATGTGACAGACTACTATGCTATCAATAAAAATAAGACTGTAGAAGAACGTATAAGGATGTGGAAAAGTAACAACAATCTATGGTTAAAAAGAAGTTTACAAAACACTACGTACAACATAAGCCTATTTTTGTTTCAAAATTAAAGAGGATTAATCCATACATGTGCTTAGAAAAACAGGCTACTTTAAAATGTTGAAAGTAACTATCTTTGAATGGTGGGGTTACAGGTAATTGTTATCATCTCCTTCATGTTCTACTCACCAAATTTTCTATAATAAATATTGTATCAGAAATTGGTGGGGAAAAGTTACCTTAAACATTTCTAACAAAATGAACAGCAAACAAGAACCCGAGATGAACTAACATTATTTACTAATAGAGAAGCAAAAGCCTTTTATGTCATGATTTTACATCATGATTAAATCCCAGCACATTCCAGAAGTTTACATTCTAAGACAATTGGCTCAGAATAATTTCTTTAAGCCCTGATGGTAAAGAATGTTCTTAAATGTTTACACTGTTTTCATATAATAGGAAGTATTGTCTGTATAAACCCTGTTCAGCCTTGTTCAGCATGAAGTCACTTTCTATCATTCCAGGAACTGAGGCAGTGAAGTGCCTGACCCATTCCCACAAATGTCCACCTTGAAAATGGTAGGTTTTAGCCCTTTAGCCAAACCTCTCCATGCCACTGAAATCTAAAAGTATGTCTACACAAAAAATAAAAAGAGAGTTCGTCCCCTAGATCCATATGTACATTGAGCCATCTCTGGCAGGAGAAGTTAGAAATGTCTGGGGTAAATCCTTAACCTCCAGGGCTTGATGATGTCACCCATGACAATACTCAGTCTTTTCCACAAGTGTCTTTTGTTGTCCCTGATAGAGTGGATTTAAGAGCTCAGCTTGTGTATTCATGTCAACCATTTGCCACTAATTGGTGCAGCTGGATGAGACGTGGATTTGAAATTGAAAAAAAGACTGTGGTAAAAATGGCGGGAATGTAGACAGTTTAACCTGAGTGACTATGTGAAGATATGCCCATCATGTGAAGAGTGACACTATTCCCTGTCCGTCTCCAGCTGTTCCTGGACCATAAAAGAGAAAGACAAAGAATGTATTTACTTTTCTCTCAAATAAATGATCCCAAGATCCAGACAGAATTAGGCTTAAACTTTCAGCCCCAGCAGTGGTTGTTGTTGTTGTTGTTATGTGCCATCGAGTCGGACCTGACTCATGGCGACCCCTCCTTGGGTTTGCCAGGCAGTATCACTACAGAAGTAGATTGCCCCATCTTCCTTCCGAGGAGTGGCTGGTGGGTTTGAACCGCCAGCCATCTGGTTAGCAGTTAAGTGGTAGGACAGGGGATATAGTTCCAGGCTCTCTTCAAGCTGCTCTTAGCTGAATTCCCCACCAGCTGATTCAGCCTTGCCCTGATAGTGTTTTGAATTGCAAACAATATCTAGCCTACTTTAGAAAACTGATGATGCCTGTAAGTTTAAACAACACATAAATTGCAGAATGACAAATTCAGGGAACATGAAGTCTTGATAGTCTTCCATAACCCTTTAAAAAATCAGTAGACAATCCAAGCTAACCACCATTATGCATCACTATCATGTCTGTTCTTGTTGTTATTTGCCGTCGAGTCGGCCCCGACTCATAGCGACCCCTCCTTGGGTTTCCCAGGCAGTATCACTACGGATAGTAGGATTGCCCAACCTCCCTTCCGAGGAGTGGCTGGTGGGTTTGAACCGCCAGCCTTCTGGTTAGCAGTCAAGTGCCTTAGGCACTATGCTACCAGAGCTCCTTGGGTTTAAAAATGGAAAATTGCAAAGCCTTTCACAACCAGAGCTCCTGCAGGTACTTCCCCAGCACATCATTCCTTTGGGGATTTAAAGAGACTGCGGGTCACAGAGCACAGGACTCATTAGCAAGATTGACTCACCTTGCTGTTGCTGGTCCTCCTGGAGTCTCAGTTTCCACATGTGCAGACTGCTGAGCCGGTGGCTGTTGCCTTTTCTTTGTACTCTAGACATGGTGCTAGTAGTATGGCTCATGGCTGAGTATCACTGGGGCATGTCCTTACCTTGACCGGTCACTTAAAATGCTCACAGGACACAGAGCCACATAGATACAAGGAGATCCTGTCCTTGCATATAAAATATTTGCTTCTCTAACAAACTTCTGAGTTTCTCCTTGTCGTCATTCTTGAAATAAATATTTACCAATGTTACTTCTCCAACATATAAAGATGCCAATTCTTGTGGTTAAAAACACACCACTTAATTGTTTTATTCTAAAGCAAATTGAAAGTCTTCTGCTTTAGAGTATAAAATCCTCCAGAGTAACTGTTTCTAACAGATGACGGTTTTGGCCATTTTTGATTCTTGCTGCTGACATGAAATCCAGTGCCTCAAGTATTTAGAGAGGATTACTAGAGTAATAAATACCAAAAGAGAGAGAGAGAAGAAAAAGTGCTGCTTTCAATCAAGTGATTTCTAAGCCTGGTCTGCTTTACCCTCTGTGACAGCTGAAAGCTTACAGTTCTTAAGGAAAGCTGGAAAAGGGCGGAGAGAAGCAGGCTAGGCTATTAGCATAAAGAGGCAGGCAAGAAAGGAAAGAAATGACATTGGAGTTGCTTTGAAAAACAGTGACCAAAGCAGAGCTTCTAAAGGTGCCCTGTTATTATGCAGTCAAATAGCTAACATTGCTACTTTGTAATAAAACAAGCATTTATACTGTTTGGATATTCATTTGTACACGTGAAATCTAAAAGGTATAATTGGAACTGGTAATGAGCTCATGGAAATATACTGTTGGAGCTTTCAATTTCTGGAAACACCTCTGAGTCTTCACAAGGGAACAGTTACAGGGCAGACTGCCAAGGCAACTATTTGAAATTCTTGAAGAAAAATAAACACAGAAAACATTATCTTTCCATAGACCTATCTCTTTTTCTCCTTGGATTTTCTAAGCATTGCTGCTCCTCCTCTGGCCTATCTTCAGTGCTTTCTTGTGCTTGCCATTTTATTACTGTTGAAAACTCCAAACTTTAATTTAACTTGGGAGCCAGCTATAACTAAAGTAGCAGGGAATGCTGATACATCCTGCCCTTTAAGATTCACAGCTCTTTGTAGATTCAGAAAGGGGGTGGTGGGCAAGGACTGAGGAGAAAGGCAGGGCTATTTAGCTTCAAAGTCTGGACCCTGCAGCTTCCTATTTACATTTGAAAATTCATGCTACACTTGACACCTTAACTAGAAGATTACCCCCAGCCAGATTGGGTTGAGTGTCCTCATTTTACTTTGAGGCAATTAACAATTCCCCAGACATATTTGATTTATGAAAACTCTTATGAAATGTGTGATTGTTCTTCTGGAATTAACTAATCAATTTATTTGTATACTTTTATGACTTTTTTTAAAAATTAATTTATAAGACTGCCTTTATCATTTTAGTAATCTACCCATTGTACTTGAAACTCTATCACATGTGACAAGTTATACAAGTATTTAGCTGCTTTGAAAGTGAATCCTGTTATTAGGAACCATCATTTCTGCTTTAAGGTTATCCCATCCTCCACAGCAAGCAGAGTGGAAGCTGAGATGTTCTTTTCCTGAATGATGCAAAGATACCCATGTTCTACCAAGTTAGGGGCCTCACTAATAACCATATTAAAACTCAATGTCAGCCTTTGAGAGAAAGGGATTCTTAGAAAGTGTTTTATAATGAAACATTTACAAGATACGCATAGGTAGTGAGTATTGATGTTGTTAGGTGCCATCGAGTTGGCTCTGACTCATAGTGAACCTATGTACAACAGAATGAAACACTGCCTAGTTGTGCACCATCCTTAAAATACTTGCTATACCTCAGCCCATTGTTGCAGCCACCACGTCAATCATTCTTGTTGAGGGTTTTCCCCATTTTTCACTGACCCTCCACTTTACCAAGCATGACATCCTTTTCCAGGGAATGGTCCCTTCTGACAACATGACCAAAGTAGGTGAGATGAAGTCTGGTCATTCTCACTTTCAAACAGCATTCCAGCTGCACTTCTTCCAGGACAGATTTGTTAGTTCTTCTGGCAGTCCATGGCATTTTCAGTATTTTTCACCAACACCACAACTCAAAAGCATCAGCTCTTCTTTGGTCTTCCTTATTCATTACCCAGCTTTCACATTCATCTGAAGCCATTGAAAGTACCACGGCTTGGATTAGGTACACTTTAGTCTTTAAAGAAACATCTTTGATCTTCAGCACTTTAAAGAGGTCTTTTGCATTGGATTTGCCCAGTGCAATACATCATCTGATTTCTTGACTACTGTTTCCATTGGTATTGAATATGGATCTAAGTAATTTGAAATCTTTGACAGCTTCAATCTTTTCTCCATTTATTGTGATGCTGCTTATTGGCCTAGTCGTGAGGATTTTTGTTTTCTTCATGTTGAGGTGTAATCCATACTGCAGACTTCAGTCTTTAATCTTCATCAGTAAGTGGCTCAAATCATTTTTACTTTCAGTAAGTAAGGTTGTGTCATCTGCATATCACAGGTTGTTAATGAATTTTCCTCCAATCCTGATGCCGTGCTCTTCATGTAGTCCAGCTTCTCGGATTATTTGTTCGTCATACAGATTGAATAAGTATGGTGAAAGGATACAACCTTGATGCACTCTTTTTTTTTTTTTTCTGACACATTCCCTTCTTGATTTTAAACCATGCAGTATCCCCTTGTTCTGTTTGAATGACAGCCTCCTGGTCTATGTACAGGTTCCTCGTGAGTACAATTAAGTGTTTTGGAATTCCTATTTTTCACAACGTTATCCATAATTTGTTATGATCCACACAGTTGAATGGTTTTCCATAGTTAATAAAACACAAGTAAGACATCTTTCTGGTATTTTTTCCTTTTAGCCATGATCCATTTGACATTAGCAATAATATCCCTCATTTCACATCCTCTTCTGAACCCAGCTTGCATTTCTGGAAGTTCTCTGTCAATATACTGCTGCAATCATTGTTAAATTATCTTCAGCAAAGTTTTACTGGTGTGATATGAATGATATTGTTGGATAATTTCCACATTCTGTGGGATCCTCTTTCTTTGCAATGGGTACAAATATGGATCTCTTCCAGTCAGTTGGCCAGGTAGCTGTCTTCTAAATTACAAGTAAGTACCTCCAGTGCAGCACCCATTTGTTGAAACACCTCAATGGGGAATCTGTCAATAACCGGAGCCTTGTTTTTAGCCAATTCCTTCAGTGCAGCTTGGACTCTTCCTTCAGTACCATTGGTTCTTGATCATATGCTACCTTGTGAAATAGTTGAACATCAAGCAATTCTTTTGTGTACAGTGACTCTGTGTATTCCTTCTATCTTCTTGCGATGCTTCTTGCATCATTCAACATTTTGCCCGTAGAATCTTTCAACATTGCAACTCAGATCTCAAATTTTTTCTTCAATTCTTTCAGCTTGAGAAATGCTGAGAAAATTCTTCCTTTTTGTTTTTCTAACTCCAGGTCTTTGCATATTTCATTATAATAATTGACTTTGTGTTCTTGAGCTGCTCTTTATAATCTTCTGTTCCCTTCCTCCATTTGCTTTAGCTACTCTCCTTTCAAGAGCAAGTTTCAGAGTCTCTTCTGACATCCATTTTAGTCTTTTCTTCCTTTCCTGTCTATTTATTTATTGTGCTTTAGGTGCAAATTTACAGAGCAGAATTTATTTTACATTCAACATTTTGTGTACATTTGGTTTCACTCCCTAATCACCATCCCCAACCCTGGCCCACTCTTCTCCTCTCCCTTCCCAGTAAACTCCCCCCTCCCTGTGCCCTTCTTAGTTATGCACTCCTGTCTGTCCACCTTTTCCTCTGTGTGTTAGTTGCCCCTGTGATGCCTCATGGTCGATTGCTCCAAGGGATGTATCTCTGTAGAGTAGGTGGATACATTGCTCTGGGTTGAGTGTTCTGCATGTAAGTCTTATTTACAGTCAGGCTGAGAGCCAGCCCTTGGGAGTGAGTTTTATCCCAGGCCCAAAGTGTATCCCAGGGCCATAGTCTTGGGGGTCCTACCAGATTCTATCCGACTAGTAATTCTGGTCATTATTGTGGTTCTGGATTTTTTGGACTTTTTTTCACAGTTTTCCTCCCACTCTATCCAGGATCTCCAGTTTTGATCCCTTCCCGAGTGTTTGGCATTGGTAGCTGGGCACCATCTAGTTCTTCTGGTCTCGAGGTCCATCATGACCTAGGGCTGGTTGTTTCCAAATGCTCTTTGTTTTCTTCACTCTTGTCTTTTTAATGACCTTTTGCTTTCTTCATAGATGATGTTCTTGATATCATCCTACAGTTCATCTGGTTTTTGGTCATTTGTGTTCAATGTGTCAAGTTTATTCTTCAGATGGTCTCTAAATTCAGGTAGGATATAATTAAGGTTATATTTTGGCTCTCATGGACTTGGTTTAATTTTCTTCAGCTTCAACTTGAACTTGCATATGAAGAATTGATGGTCTGTCTCGCAGTCAGCTCCTGGACTTGTTTTGGCTGAAGATTTTGAGATTCTCCGTCCCCTCTTTCCACAGATGTAGTTGATTTGATTGCTGTGTATTCTATTTGGTAAGGTCCACATGTATAACTGCTGCTTGTATTGTTCAAAAAAGGTATTTGCAATGAATAAGTCATTGGTTTTGCAAAATTCTACTGTGCCATCTCTTGCGTCATTTTTGTCGCCAAGGCCATATATTCCAACTACCGGTGATTCTTCTTTGTTTCCAACTTTTGCATTCCAATCATCAGTGATAATCAACACATCTTGATTGCATGTTTGGTCAATTTTAGAGTGCAGAAATTGGTAAAAATCTTCAGTTTCCTGTTCTTTGTCTTTGGTAGTTGGTGTGTAAATTTGAATAACAGTATTAGTTACTGGTTGTAGTTGTATGGATATTATCCTATCACTGACAGCATTGTCCTTCATGATATATCTTGAAACATTCTTTGTCACAACGAATGCCACACCATTCCTTTTCAATTTGTCA